GTACGACAAATGTAATACCAGCCTTAGGCTGGGTCTACATTGGATGTCGTAAGTCGTGTCGGAAGAAATTGACCAATCACAGTTCATTAGGCTGGGTCTACATAGAATGTAGTAAGTCGTGTCGGAAGAAATTGACCAATCACAGTTCATTATTCTCCTTACGGTCGAAGAATAATGAACTGTGATTGGTCAATTTCTTCCGACACGACTTACGACATCCAATGTAGACGCAGCCTAAAGCCTCCGCTACAATGATTCTCGGTTCTGTCTACAATGGTCGTAGTCGTAGTCGCTCGATAAGAATTGACCAATCGCAGTCGATTATTCTTACGACTACGACCATTGTAGACAGAACCGAGAATCATTGTAGCGGAGGCTTAAAGGACGGCGCGCGCGTTCGAGTCACTTTGGCGACACTGGCTGGGCCGACTCCGAAGAAGTCCGATCGACTCGCGAGTCGCGATACGCACCGTCGGCTGACGACTCGCGACACCGAGGGATGCCCGCTCCCTCTCCGGTACCGTGTCCTCGGCTGCGTCGCGGAATGTCGCCTGGTACCCGGGATCGCGTTCCGTAAAGTCGGCCGAGATCCCGGGGCCTCGTCGTCGTATCGGACGGTACATGTCGCTCGCGGCGGCCAGGCGCATCCGTACGGCGACAGCGTTCGTGAATTTTCCAGGCACACGGTATAGCGGCGCACCGGCCGCGCTCTCGCGCTGCAGAGGCGCACATTCCGAGTTTTCAGAAAATTCGCACGGGTTCGGGGAGCATCGGCGAGGCGACAGAGGGAGAGAGAAAGAGAGAGAGAGAGAGAAAGAGAAAAAGTCAAGACGAGCGAGCGACTGAAGGAGAGAAAACGAGTAAGCGAAGAACGTCATCCTCCCCCGTTCGCGCGGCACTTCCGCTCCCTGAAGGTCCCGAGGGCCCGGGTCGGACCATGGCTCCCGTCGCGATAGGTTAACGCACGACTAGCTTGCGACCCCTCCCCCGCACCACAACCGCGCGCCTCTGCAGATGAAGATGAGCGGGGAGATGTTCGAGGGGAAGGACTATCCGACTCAGTGGGCGCTCAATCCCTCGGCTTATCAGAACATGAGCAACGATCAAGGTAGCTTCCCCTGCCTCCCTCCCTCCGCCCCAGGGTGGCGACGCGAATCCTTAGTCTTCGCTCGCCGGTCTGCAGCGAGCGTACCCGCGCGGCTCTGTTCCGGTGCTATGTTAGGATACTTTCTGTAACGGAGATCCTCCCCCCCCCCCCCCCCAAGTTGAACTCTGTGCGTGCAGAAGCGAGATGTAAACATGAACGATGACAGAGTAGTCTGGCTGAAATGCGACGAGATATCCAATGTACGTTCAATCTTGATAGAGTCCCTGGACAGCTCGCATGTCTAACAGCGAATTTGGCTGCTTGCACTAGTGTGCACACTTACATTAGGCTTTGGACATGTTTTTATGACGTCTCTTAAGCTCGGTTTCACCAACGTCGCTTAACTTCGAGCTTAGCCCAATTCGTTCTTCGTCGCTTTCCAACTGTTACTCCGGAAAGAGACAAACACGAATTAAACTAAGATTAAAGTTAAGCGACGTTTGGTGAAACTGGGTCTCAGGCATGTGCGCTGTCTGGGACGTTTTGTACCCTGGACTCGTCGCCAGGTGACTTTCTCGTACAGCGGCATCGGCACAGAGTGGCGCGAGTGATGAAAATCGCCGTCGACGCGCGAAGTCTCGCGTAAAACTAACATTTGTCTGTCTGGGAACAGTGGATTGGGCGGCTCTGGCGCAGCAGTGGATCAAGATGAAGGAGACCGTCGTGCCGCCAGCTCCGCCGCCGCCCAACATCAACCCCGTGTGCCCGGCGAGCGACGGCAGCGGTGAGGCGCCAATGGACATGGACACCAAGGACGACGACGTGCCACCCGCGCCACCCGCGCCTACCATCAGCGGATCCGGTGAGAGAACGGTTTCGATGGTGTACTCGCGACAGATCGCTCGAGTCGGGAGATAACGAGAGAACTGTGTGTTTCATCGTCGCGGGGACAGAGGCCTGGACTCAGTGGAGCCAGTGGGGCCACTGGAACGCCTCAACGTCCGGCACCGGGAACTGGGAGTGGAGCGGCGTGCCACCCCCGGGGGTCACCATGGACCCCGACGGCAAACCGATGGGACTCCCGACCGTGCCGGTTATACCGCCCGCGCCGACGATATCGACCACCACCGACTTCAACACACCTCCCCCCGCGCCGTCGCTATACTCGTACAACTCGGTGCCGTCCGGGCAGTCCTACAATCAGGTAGAGAAGCGAGGGAGATTAGGCACCTGTCGTGGAAACGTTCGGAATTGATTCTGACCGGAATTATTCAATTAACTCCCAGGATTCGTATTCTGAATGCTCTTTTATCGACCAGAGCGCCTCTAAAAGTGGCTAAAGCCTTGGGTCCACGATCCAAAAACTGTGTCCAGGTTCTAGTTCCGAGAAATGCCAATCACCTTGCAGCTTGTATGGAATAGCTGCAGGTTGATCGGCTACACGCGAGATAAATTAATTAAACTTGATACTATAAACATAAAAATAACAAATGACGAAAGTGTAACACGTTTATTGTCGCGAGTCGCGTGTAATCAGCGTGTGTTCGATCGTAATTACAATTCGCGGAAGCGATGAGTGAACACTTCGACTTCAATTTGAGTCATTCTCAGCGCGGTAAATGTTAAAAAGTCAGTTCTTATGATTTCAGGTAGGCCAGACGGTGAGAGTGCTTGTAGATTTTTCAGAACCCAATGAGTCGACTCACTGCCTCTTCTTAGATAATAACATAGAAAGAGACGGAGAGTCAACTAACTTCTGGTTAACCAGGAAATGACAAACCAGGCCTCACAGTCGAAAAGCAGAGAAAAGAAGGCGCACTAAGGTTGCGAAGCCTTTGACCGAGCCATCATAATCCACAGTTTCGATTCATATAAAAACGGATATTCACAATGAACGTCACTAAGAGTGCGTTCCGTTTCACGCATGATGCACATAATGCGTCACTTATCCTTGTTATTTACCCGATGTTAAATAAAGATAAATGACGCGTTATGCGCATCATGCGTGAAACGGAACCCACCTTAAACATACTAGTTACACTCACCAGCTGGCCAGAAACGAAACACGCGTAGACCGGGGCCGTAAGGCAGTCGAAAAATTCCACAGATACATTGTAAAACATCAGTACAATTAAAATCCAGCGGTCGAGAGAGTCAAATAGATGAAAAACGTTAATTGCGTTGGATGGTCGACGAACGTAGACTATCGAAACAAGAAGTAAACGATCGCGAAAGTTCAATGTTCCCTCAAGTCGACACCGAAATTTACCGTTCGCGACTTTCGCCCTTTCAACCGGTCTCTCGTAAAAACCAAGCTGTATGTGGAATGGGGCTCGTGGGCTTTCCACGTGCGACCTTCGTCCCGCTGATTGTAAGAACCCTTCTTAAATGCGTGCTCGTCAGGTTACCAACTATTGGTCCGGCGAGCCGCCTAATGCAGTATCGCCGCAGCCGCTTCCGTTCATGAAGGGCATGAGGCACGGGAGCAGAGGACCTCACATGAGGGTGATGGATCCGGTGCGATGTCGAGATGATAGGGAAAAGACACCAGAGGAGGACACCACTACGACTATAGGTAAAGGTCACAATGGACAGTAATAATAATAATAATGGCTCGTAGTTGACTCAACTGACAATTACGATAATCTCAATCTGCGAGCTCTCAGTTTCACGTAGTTGCTAATCCATTCTTCGTAGACGCCGCGAAACGAAGACAGTTGCCGGCGTGGATCCGCGAAGGGCTGGAGAAGATGGAGAAGGAGAAGCAGAAGGCGATGGAGAGGGAGAGGCTGGAGATACTGAGGAAGCAGGAGTTGGAGGCTCGCAAGCTGGCGGAGGACGAGGCGCGCGCGGTGCTCAATCCTAGCAAGAGCAAATTTGTAAGCGTCACCTAGTTCGCACGCGACCGTGTCAAGTTGCGTTCATTGTATTGCTCCGCTCGTATGTATCTCGCAGGATTCGGACTCGGAGAAGGAGACCGAGCAGGATTTCGACGCGGGCGGCGCGCGCGGGCAGCAGTCCGCGGAGAAGAGCTACGATCGCACCCCGGACATCGTCGTCCGGCCGCGAAAGTCGCGATTCAGGGACGCCGACTCGCCCGAGTCTCACACAGGCCCCGACGAGAGTCCGACCGGGGCGGCTAGCGCGGTCCCAGCGGTGCAGAAGCGCTCCCGGGAGGAAATTTTGCAGGATGTGGTAAGGAATTGTCCTGAATTCCTGTTGCTGCGGCGAAACGTCGCGACAGGGAGAATTAAATTCAAATTATGTTCCGGTGTGGCGCGATCTAATTAATTGCAATTAATTGCATGCTTCCGCGCGGGACCGCGTCGTGCCTCTCGTCGCGCAGATGTTGAAAGTGAGGAGGTCGTTGACGGAAATACTTCTGGAAGTGACGAACGAAGAAGTTGGCGCGGTATGCAGGGAGGTTTGGAGCCGCGCACGTGCCAAAGGTACCCCAGATACACACGATAGAACTAACCAATTGAATTTCCGTGCTTTTGCTCGTCGGGGCACAGAATCCGGTTCAGCGAGCCCACTCGCCGCGCTATGCTGCGACGAAGCTGTGCGATTGTATGATACAAAGTTGAGAGCATTAAACAGAGATAACAGAGATCTTGATATGTAGACTTAATTATTCGGCAATTTCAGGACATCCTGCGTTTTGCGTTTTCAGGGATTTGCGTATAGCGTAAGGCACACACACACACACACACACACATATATATATATATATATTTTTCTCTTTCTCTCTTTCGCTTTCGTTTCGATCATCACGTAATCGTCTCGCATTACGTGCCGGAGACATTACGAGACATTTTTACGCGCCGGCATTCTTTATGCCCGGCAATGATCTCTCTCGCGATATATCTCTACGACAAAGAAACTAAATGTATTTTTTTATACATCTCGCTGTAAACGCAGTGTTTCAATAATCTACAATCAGGACTTGTTTTAATAAGGACGTCTAGATATTAATTTAGCCAGTGATATTTAATAATACAATTAACGAGAAGTACGAAAAACGCACCCAGTCTCACGTAATAGGAATATCTTGCCGTTTGATCCTTGTACGCTTAAAGACAGACTTGACTGTGATCTAATTTTTTTTTTTACGAGTCTATCTCTCTAACAACTTCGTTCCGAGCATTACGGACTTAGTCTCACGAAGCTGCCGGGGACGGTGAGAGCCTCGCAAGTCGCGTAATGCAAATCGCGCGATGCCGATGACTAGTCGTAGCTTTAGGGCCGTATTAGAGTAACTGTAGTTCAGCTTGTAAGTGTGGAATAATGCTGTAAAGATTTCTTAAGGTACATGAAAGGAAACGAAGGGACGAAGGGACAGTTCCCCCTTCCCCAGCCCCCGCTTGCGCGAATGGGCCGATTAATAAGAGCCATTCGGTATTATCGGGGGCGTAATCTGGTGTGCGGATAGCACACTCTTAGCGATTGGTTACTAAATGCGTGTGTATTGTAAGTCCCTGCAGGAGAGACCCCCGTCGCATCCCTCAACATGGCCCCTCAGATCACTCACAAGTCACTCGGTGAGTACGCTCTAACGCTTTATTATGAACGCACGGCGATATCCGTAGGGAACGGCCGTGAAACGACGCAGTTGGCCCGTTGAGAGAAACGAGAGAAAGAAAAGAGAAAAAGAAATGAGGAGAGAGGAGAGGCATGCGTGTTGCGCATACAAGTTTCAGCTCGACCGTTCTTTCTCGTTTAGAGATCGCTCGCCGCACAGCCGAGAGGAGGTGTCCCTCTCTCTTCCTCTCTCTCGTTTGCTCTCAGAAACGTTTCTCGGGCGAAAGTAAACGGCTGCGGAAATACTAGCCGGAAGCCGAGCTTTTGCACTTATATTCTCTCTTTTTTTCCTTTTTTTCTGTTCCCCTCGTCACTCCGAGAGAGGGAGTGCCGTGACACTGCGCTCGGAGCGGAACGGATGTAATCCCGGGCTCTGTCTGCCGTAGGTCTGAGCATCTATAACGACAGTAACAGCGAGTCTGAGGAGGAGCCGAGCGAGCACGCGCAGACACAGAACGACGACAGCGATGAGGAGTTGAAAGTAAGGATAGATTGATTTTATCGGCTTCAATTTACCGAGAAACGGGACTTGGTTCACGATCTTATCTTGCGCGTACTCGTATCTTCCATACCGTTTGACCTACGCGTAACTAACTGTACCTAAAATAAATCCTGTTACTTTCTACGGCTACGTTTACGCGTCACCCTTAATCGGGTTTAATAACATCTGCAGTTATAAAACTGACCAATCACGACTATTCTTCAGAAGAATGGAATGACTGTGATTGGCCAGCCCCTTAACTACGGATGTTATTAAACCCGATTAGGGGTGCCGTGTAAACATAGTCTACGAGTCGAAGGTGAAGAAATCCTCGTAGAACTGTCTTGAATTCCCCTCGCGATGCGATCAGCCTCTCCGAGGTGATTTCGTTTCTACTCCATGAACCGATTTCGCAGGAGACGCTGAGACGGCGGCAGCAGGCGTTCCGCAAGACAGAGGAGGAAATCGAGGCGCAGCTCGCCGAGGAGGAGGAGAGAGAGGAGCAGCGGAGCGGCGAGGAGCAGTACAGTAATAAGCAACAGGAAAATCATACCGGTAATACTAGCTGCCGGGAGACAGGTATGTTTCGACCGACAACCCACTCGTATGTGGCCGCTGGGAGACTAAGTGTAACTTCCTGACGTCATACTTTAGTTGATGAAAAAGAAACGGTAGATAATCAAAGAGAAGCGTCGGAAACTTTGTCGAGTGGCGGTCAGAGTCCAGCGGCGGCGCCGCAGAACGCGTCGGTGCCCGACGGGGGCCAACAGGCGAAGGCGGGCAGCACTGCGTCGGGGTCCGCCGACTCCGAGTCGAGCAGCAGTGAGTCCACGAGCAGCTTGTCCGGGACGAGCCGTGAATCCGCATCCAAGAGGCGCGAGAAAACGCGCGCGGGCAAGCGGCAGTCGCAGCAACGCGAGCAACAGCAGCAGCAACAACAGCAACAGCAGCAGCAGCGCGAGCAGCGTTACAGCCGGCGACGAAAGTCCAAGAGCGAATCCAGGAGCAAGTCGCGGAGCGGTAGACGATCCAGCAGGTCGTCCGAGCGTGGCGGCGGCCACCACAAGCGACGCTCGCGCTCAAGGTCGGCCAAGTCGCGCAAGGATTATCGCTCGCGGTCCTCGCGCTCCTCCAGCGACCACAGATCGAGCAGGAAGCGGCGCTCGCGGTCGCGTGACCGGAAGCGCGCGAGGTCGCGTTCGCGCAGCTACCGACGCTCCAGGTCGACGTCCGCCGATAGAAAGTGGTCCTCGCGCTCCCGCAGATGGAAATCTCGCTCGCATTCCAGAGAGAGGCGGCGGGGCAGCCGGTCGCGCAGCAAGTCGTCGCGGACCGCCAAGCGCGAGAGGTCGCGCACGAGGTCGCGCAGTCGCTCGAGGGACCGCAGACGCTCGAGATCCTACGTTTCCGCGAGGAGCCAGCGGCGGGGGACCAGTCGGTCCAGGTCGCGGGACCGAAGCAGAAAGTCACGATCCAAGTCGAGCCATCGCGATGGTAAGAAGTCGTCACAGCGATACAGGAATTGAGGTCAGGACCCGCTCCTAGCCCAAGGTTGTATATTCATTCTGATCCGTAGCTTTAACAGACAAACACGGGGAAAGCAGTGATACATTATTTTTAACAAGTTTATCGTTTGTTACATAGACATGAAATCGATCTTAGAGTCTCTCTTTCTTGTTTTCTTTTTATGTTACATCGTCGCGAATTCGGCTCTCGATTCATTGCAGCGTTTACGTAGATATCTTTTGATATCTGGCGCAGTAATTAACGAAGATTATACACAAACGATGCCGCTTCAACGTGGCGCAGAAGTCTACTCGGCAAGAAGCCATTGCTTTCTATCCGCTTCTTGTTGTTATATGAATATTATTTTCTTGCAAATGCTCGCGCGAAATAGACCAATATTTATATATTTTCGTTTCATTATAATTTGATACATGCTGCAATAAAATATATGTATAATATCGATGTAATTTTATCGATCAAAGTTAGAAAGATAGAATTTGTCGCTGTGGAATGAAAAAGTCAGTGAAACTTTTGCTCAAATCTTTCTTCGGGGGTAATGGCAATTTGTGTGCAGTAAAATTACTCGGTCACTCGTAGAGTTTCGTAGGTATGCCACGAAGATTAATTTTATTATTAGATTTAGTTGTAAGAAATAAAAGTGGATTGAAGCGATTCAAGATTTGTCGAAACGGACTAGCAAGCACTAATTTTGCATTCCCGTCATTGAGTGTCTTCGGAACGAGCGCTTTCTCTCAGAGAATATTTCTTTCAAATAGACTTCATTGTTAACGTATAAATATGGATTTTTTTTACAATCTACTCTATATAATCCATCTAATTATCTACTTGAATCTAATACGTCCCTCTATTCTGCTACTTTTTAATAAAATTGATCTTATTCGTTTAATTTTCGACCTTATTCGTAAAAGTACGCGTTTTTTTTATGCGTAATTGTAATTCGTATAAAATGATGCATATACAAATGACACACTTTGCAATTATTATCTCACTGTCGTCGAGGAAATAAATTACTGGCCAAGAGAATTTACAATATAAGAAAAACGCGATAAAATAAGTAAAAAAAACCAGGATAATTTAAACGCTTGTTCTTTTATCGAGACATTTAACAAAAACATATGCCGTTCACAAAATGTAATTACTAAGGGCGAGTTTCACAAACGTCGGTTAACTGCTAACCGAAGGTTAATTGATACTCTGTCTCTTCTTAAATAATAAGATGAAAAAAGATAGGGAGTTAACTAAAATCTGGTTAACAGTTAACCGACGTTTGTGAAACTGGCCCTAAGGCCCGGTTTCACCAGACGTCGCTTAACTTTGATCTTAGTTTAATTCACGTCTATCTCTTTTTAGATTAACAGTTGGAAAGAGACAAAGAATGAATTAAACTAAGCTTAAAGTTAAACAATGTTGGTGAAACCAGGCCTAAGGGCTAATTTCACAAACGTCGGTTAACTGTTAACCAGAGTTTAATCGACTCCCTATCTTTTGCTATCTTACTGTCCAAGAAGAGACGGGGAATCAGTTAACCTTTGGTTAGCAGTTAACCGACGTTTGTGAAACTGGCCCTGAATCATCATTCGTTCCTTCGTAGAATTGTAAGACGCTTGCAATTTGTTGGAAACACGTATATCTTTATACATATATAGTGAAAACTACTTTTGTATTAATAAATAAAGATTGTCGATAGAATTCAGACGCGAATTTTTATTTCCGGGGGTAAATAATAAATTTTCGCACACTTTGTTTCATTTTTAGGGCAGTTTTGCATAACAAAAAGAAAAGAGAGAAAATATCGCTGCAACATACGTTATTCAGCGTATTGATACAAATAAAAATTTGGATAGAAATTACTTTGCGGTAATATCTTTCTCTATAAAATTGCTCCAAGCAAAATCGTGTATGCTAACATTTCTTTTTATCAACGGGAAGAAAAATTATTTGACGACTTTAAACTGGCCGAGTGGTTTAATCTAACAAATTATTCCAAATTTTAAGTTGAAAGTTGTCAAATAATTTTTCTTCCTGTTGTTAATCAATTACTGGCGACAATAATATTCTTATTTTTTTTATTTATAAAAATATATCAAAATTATCGTACTGTTGTCTAACATTGATTATACATATACACGTATAAATAAGCGTTACATACATTTGATAAACGTTCAATAACGTTGATTTGTACACGAGTGGAACGGCAGATTAAACTTTGATAAGAAAGAGGAATGTTTCGCGTGAACTTTACTATGAGCGTTACTCGACGAAGTAACCGATCGATAATCTTGTAGATTGAATGCCAGGATTTCGACACGAGTCGTAGAAATGTTATTTTGTTTCAGCATCTTCCACTGGCTTCCGCTCGGCTTCGACGTTTCACTATTCAGTTCGTCAACATACACAGCATTGGTACAGTTACAGTTTTCGAATACGCATCACGTTTAATCTTTTCTCCTAAATAGTGTATAAAAAACTTAACACTACATGATAATAAATAGTAATACTTATAGCTATGTGTTATAGACAAACATTACTTGCTACAATGTACAAAAGTCTTCTTTTTCTTTTCTAAAGAAACAAAGAACACAAGATACACGTAATCAAAATTTATACGATTACGAGAGTGACGAACGTGAAATAAAGTTGATGCGAAATTAGTCCAAGTGGTTCGTATCTTCCCCGAAGCAATCCTATGCGCGTGGGGCCCGCGAGAGCTCTCGGGTGTTCGATCGAAGCGATATCTGGAGTACACAAATCATGGTTAAGCCGAACCGTTTGCTGTAGATGATGCACTCGAGAGTCCGCGCTTTACCTTCACGGTATGGAGTTCATTTTCTCGATCAGATGATCGTAGACGAGTTCTCGTATGTGCACACCGTACACGAAATCGAAGTGATTCAACCGCTTCAGCGTCACCGTGAATTTCTCCAAGATATTCGGCAATATTCCGTTCAACATCTCGACGTCCTAAAGTAAACGTTACAATAAAACATGGCGTTTTACACGAAGGTTGAAAAGACGATAGACTTCCTTCCTCCACGCGTTACTCAACGATAAATTAGCGAAGGTCTAATTACATTTGGATGCGCCAGGACATCGTTCAAGCCGTTGTACAAGATCACCGGGGCCGTAATCTTTTTCAGGGGATAGTCCGGCGGCAACATTCGCCTGTAAAGCCTGAGGTTCTTCAGCAGGCCGTAGTCGTAAGGTCGAAAGTGTCCTGCAAGAGAACCGACTCGGTTGTGAATGAACGCACACCCAGCAGACGCCGTGCAACAGTTGCACAACGTCAATGTTACAATTTCCCACTCAACAATACATAATTATTGAGTAGAAAATAATGTTACGTAATTGTTTGCCGGGTAGTTGGGAGAATCCTTCGATTCTACATTGAAAAATAAATCTGGTTGCATTAATTAGAAATCTGGTAGATTCCGTCAGTCGTCTGTTAGAACATGGGCGAATCAGAATTCCTTCAGGATTCGCTAGATGTACAGTGAAGTCTATCAAACTTCTGGTTATGAAATATCGAGCCCTATCGTGATAACTAGAAATTCTGTTTAGTTTAATAAAAATACATTCTATCATATACATATGTCTTGTTGATACAATCAAAGCATTTTTCTCAGTGTACACGGAGAAAATCTTCTCTTAAAATTTCTCCTGAAAATCATGTGATCGTGAGACAACAGGGCATTTCGAAAACTTTATGAGGGTTTTTTTTATTAGTAAAATGTATGGTAAAATTTCAGAAACTCTTATAAACTCTCATATCTCGTTCAAAATGTCATGTTGTCCCACACTGACATGATTTTCAGAGTTTAAGAGAAAATGTTTTCCGTGTACGAGCTCGCGATTAAAAGTCGGACCCGAAAGAAAAATCCGGTACCTGGATTTTGAATGCCCATTGAGTAATGAACCAATTGCTTGTACGAGCATCCCGCCGGTGCGAACTGCAGATAATCTGCCAAGTGCGCCTGAAAGTATGTAACGTTACCTCACGTAAGCGAGTCGGGTTTGTACACTCGGACGGCCGATTTATTCGGCTTTTGTGACGATAGCTTACGTAATCCGTCTCGCCGGTGCTGAAACCTCCGACCATGTGCACGATCAGTTCGCAGAAGGGCTGAGTGAGGATGCCTTCCCGGCAGAGCGCGAATGTTACGAGTTTCTCCAGTTCCGTATTCGCTAGCAGCTCGAAGTATCCGGTGAACTTGTAAAATCCCTGCCGAATCAAGCGGATAATCAGTACGAGAAGCCTCGCGAAATATGTCTTTTAATTAGAATGTACAATAAGAGTACTTGGTTGCACATTTTTCTCAACGAAAAGTTCCAGTTTATACATTGAATACATTTTATTTTACGTAAATAACGATGTAATTGCACACGGAGAGATTTGTCTCTTAAAATCATGTAATCGTGGGACAATGTGGCATTTTGAACAACTTTATGAAACACATAGCCAGCCGTGGACGATCAACTGCTTAATCATGGTTATTTATCTGCTGGCGTCAAATGATTCTTGATGTAACTTTATGAAAATTTTACCATACATTTGACTAGTAATGTATTATGTTAGATAAATCTTAAAAATCTCTCCTAAAGTTCTTCAAGATGCCGCGTCCCACGATTACATAAATTTCAGGGTAAATTTTAAAAGAAAATTCTCCGTGCAGTTCCATTCGTAGAGAAAAAGCAATGTGGCTATACTCCATTTATGCACAAGATACTAACTTCCGTCAGTCATTTACATTTTTTTTTGTTCAGGTCCAAAGTTCGGGAGTTTTTAACGAGATACAGCTATTTCTACCTTAAGGGTGTTGGCGATGAAACTTAGAGGTCTTAGCACACCTCCGATGTGTCCGGTGTAAGCCACGGGGGCTAAAGCGGACATGAGCTTGATTTTCTGGTTGTATTCCGGCCTCAGGGACATAAGGACCCAAAATTGCGTTGTTCCTTGAGAGAAGCCTATGTAGAACAGCTGCTGTTGGCCGGTTTGATCCAATATGTAGTCTATCATAGCGGACAAGTCGTACATACCCATCTCGTGCCAGCTAAATGGAGTATTCACAAGAGAATTGCGGTTGATTAATAATTACCTACAATATGTAATAGACGTTATTGTAAAATTATAATTAATTGACGTCAAATGATATTCGATAGATAATCATTTATCAATTATCGTTAACATTCGATTTGAACGCGATTGAGAAGTATCATACGATCTAATTAATCCTACGGTGAGTGAAGGAAATCCTGAACGCGAATGTTAACGCAGAAATGTGAGAACCTCGACGTTTCGAGGTATCGCGGGTACCTAAAGTCCCAGAATTGAGCGCTTTCTATGGAAAGGGTCGTGTGGTTCTTCGAGTTGGTGGTCCCGCGGGAGTTACCGAGCCATACATCGTAACCGTCGTCAGCCAGAAGATAAGCTGACGGCAAATTAAAAGTAATTTTCTTAATATCAAAATCTGTACGCTAAAAGAGACTCGAGCGTAAAACTGATCCGATACCGATTGATCGATTCCGACCCGTTATCAGCCAATCCATTGAGCATCCCAACAATCCGTGCATGATCAACACCACTCGATGGTTCTCGGTGGTCTTATTAGAACGATTAGGTATCCGATGGACAGCCAATACGTATCCGTCCTTGGTCGTTACGTGGTGAAGTTCAAAGGGGTAGCCGCTCTGTCTTACACTGTCCTCCTAAAAGTAGACAATTTGCTAAAGTAACATTGATAATTAAAAGCCACTTATCGATTTAGAAAGAATTAAAACATCTGCTTATTTGTAGAATGTTATTAAAATTAACAAAAATGTTCCAACTCTAGCATTTTTATGTTGATTTTTATAACACTTTAAATTTACGTAGAATTTCTTCGATTCTGGCAGTTATATATTTAATTTCTTTGTAGAATTATTTCTGGCAGGGCATCGACATTAATTCGACGTTAGTATTTTCGCTGGGGGACCTCGTATGCATAATTTTTCATGCATAAGCATGTATAAATATAGAAAATTATATATATCTCAAATATGCTCAAACCTGTTATATTTGCATTTTGAATACACAATTAATGTTGTTTTGAAGCCAATGCAATAAAACGTGCATTAAAAAACACGTTACATGCACATGGGCGTGCCTTGGGCGCTTAAAAAAAACTTAACTTAAGCGGCGCCATCAAAGGTCAACTGATAAGACCAGCAAATACTTATAAGACCTTTTTAAATCGTACAACTTTGTGTTTTTTTTCTACTTAAATACATGTTATATTAATAAAAATGACCAACTCTGGCCAATAATATATAATTATTGTTAAGCAATCTTTCCCCCAATACTCTTGGAATAACGCCTTATTTTGGCTATTGAATGCTTCTAACGATTAAACAGCTCGGTAGAAAAAGTTGCGTTTTATTGCATTGGCTTTGAAACAATATTGTGTGTCCAAAATGCGCGAATTTAACATGTTCGGACATATTTGAGATATATATTGTAATTTTATATAGTTCTCTTTTTATTTATGCACGCCTATGCATGAAAAATTAGACACGAATGCTATCTGGGAGGTCAATGGTAGCTTTTTTGGAATGCACTGCCACAGTATACAATAGCCTATAATAGTTTACACCGATCATTTGTATCCGATTGGCATATTCTTTTAGATTAAAAAATATACATCAATCGGATACAAGAGCTCACGGTGCGCCCAGTGAACGGTCGTGCTTCTGGATGCTCCCATTAAATGCACGTTTAACGCGGGACAAATACGCACATTTAAAACACATTATACGCGCATTGGCGCTCCTTGGGTAGATTGCACTTCACTTACAACCAGTAGATTGGGATCGCTACTCGGGGGAAACAATCCCCACGTACGAAACAAACTGTTTGTTTCAACGACAAATCCATAACACAGCAGTGAGACGAAACACCAATGCGTAATCATATCTTCACGATGGACGGCTACTTTTGCGGAGCAAGTTGCACCTCGTACTACAAGTACACCGTTTGCTTTATGCACAGCTTCCCGTTGGAACCCGTAGATTTAAACGGGCGAACACACGTTTACCCGTGAACTTTAACAAAGCTGTTATATAACTGATCGATTGAAAAAATCTTTTATGTAACCGAGAAATAATTCATGAATTTTTTTCTCTGCCGAGAGAAGAAAAATTCAATAATGTCACGGACAGGGTAATATGTTTAAGAAGTCAGAAGTGTGGCGTAACAATGCGACGAGGAGACGCGAGCGGCTCTTTAAAGAGTCACAGGATTCTCGAACGTAGATGTATTAACTTGTGTCGATTCACCCCTTCCGAGGAGACGATTATTGAATTACTTCGGAAACAGACCTACTTCCACGCGCGACTCCGAGATCGTTTCTGTAAATTTCAACCTCGCCGCTCGTTATCCGTTTTGTATGCTTGCGTATGCGAGGCCGCGGATTGTTTTTATTAACGGACACGGCTGCACGTGTCCGCGGTCCTGGCACGCGATTACGGGCTGTTGACGTATTGCGATGATTTTTCTTAAGAGGCTCAATTTAGACGTTTCGCTTATGTGATACGAGCAAATCCTCGCACGGTGACGTCAACTGCCGGCGTTGATAGTGTCAAAATTTTTACTCGATAGCTGCAACGTAAACGATTAGTTATGTCAGGAATTTTTCCGCGTTCCACGTGTACGAAATCAAGCGTGGAGAATCTTGCCGGAAATCCTGCAAGAATGCACGTTACGTATTTGCACATTTTGTGAAATTAAATAAAATGTATCGTTTATTTACCGCCACGACGTAACTGAAAGAAAAAACTAAGTTTTCCGGAAAGGGAGCTTGAACCCAGATAGCACAAGACACTCCTATGAACATTTTTAAAACTATTCTTCAAGAACATTTGGAATATTTCATAGGTCATTTTTACATATTTATCTTATGTTCGTGGAACATTCGACTGGCACTACTATACTATAAATCTTTTTCGAATGTGAATAGAATAATCTATCGAATATCCCAGGGAGAAATGTTTTGTCAATCGATGTCTATTCGACATCAGTTTGATGGTGTCGATGTTGATCCGACATCGTTTCAATATCGATCGACGAGCCATTTCTCGCTGGGTATAGCGCGTGGATTATACATATGTGGTATGATCACAGGTTTCACTGTCTTTTGCATAAGATAAAGTGTATTACACAATAAACAATGTGCAGTACATAAACTCGATGAATATTACAAAATTATTCTGAACAAATATTCTAAAGACATTCTCGACACAATATTCTAAACGCGTTCTTCTTTGTTATGAATATACGATATCTAATTGTAATAATCAATATATATTTCTAGAAAATTCGATTGGAATATTCTGAAATTAAGAATATTTGCACCCCAGAAGAATATTCGTAAAACTATGTGCGCTATCTGGGAATCGTTAAAATTTCATTTTAATGTAATAAAAGTATACCTAGCTATACGGCTCTTCATTCAGTATATTGATAATCTTTTACTAACGACTCAAAAGTGGCAATTTTGAGTCATATTGTTATTGTACATGAACGATATATGCAATAAAATAGATAAGGTATACAAAATGATCGGCCATTGAATTTTTCTCGAGATACTCGCGACACTAGCTGCGTTCGGCATTGCAAATCTGAGGTGTCGGAGTGCTCTTTCTCTCTTTCCATTTCAATCTCCTTTCTTGCTTACTTTAATGCGACACAACCCAGCGAGAGATGACTTATCGGTCGATCATCGATGTCGAAACGATGTTGAATCGACATCGCCACCGTCAAATTGATGTCGAACTTGTCAATGTCGATTCGATTGTTTCGACGAATTATTCTCACCGGGAAGAGAACACTTCGACACCTCAGATTTGCAATGCTAAACGGAACCACTATAAATAACATAATTGGAGCCCAAACTTGTTTTGTATTAGCTATGTACAAAGCCCAAGGTCTTGATTAAGTCACAGGTTAATTATTACTTTATTGCAGTAAAACCTGTTAGAGTAGCGCAAACTAAATTTCCAATTTTGGATGGACTGAAAGAAGAAAGTAGAGACGCTCGAGAAATAATGTAATCGAAAATGAAATATCACTATAAGTGTAGTCAATCTGTCTTACATAATCACTCGATCTTCGCGTTCGACAGAATCGACGGTTTTGTAATCGAAGTTGTGCACGCATCTAAACACCTATGTAGTACTACGTCGTTACGTTAAGCACAGGAAATATCGTTTCGATCATTGTCAAGGACGATTCTTCGACAATCTTAATAATCCTCCGCAGCTCATCTCGTTTTAATCAAGCTGAAGCTACAAAATTGTAAAAAAGAATGTCAAAAAACGATAACGCTACATCGGGGAGTGTATCAATGAAGAATATCTCACGTCGAAACGGCGTATCAACGTCGAGATACGCGATTACAGGATTAATAGTCGCAATCTGGTCTTCTTGCTACGTTTCTTCGTCTGAATATGCTTTATGATGATCGACGACACATTGTGTTTGCGTTAACGGCAATTCATCAGTGACGATTTCACAGTTAGCTACGATTACACAACACGTTTGCACATACATCATAAGTCCAGCTTCTGGCAATGAGTTCTGACGTATCGTTTAAATTAAAGTCTTTTGCGAGTATTACGATAAAGTTATTTAATTTCGGATTGCACGCGAGTCTGTATTTATCTACTCGTGCTTCCAAAACGATCAGATAAGGGGATCGCGAGTCACAGTTGGAATACGTGTCTCCCGACAGACTCCCGTAGAAACGCTCTTTTAAGGATTTTTTTTGTAAGACACGCTTTTTTCTTTCTCTCGGGTCTTTAGAAGATATCGGAGATACTCGAATTTAAAGGATCTTTTCAGGCCATTAAAGGACAATTTCAAGGTCGCCAAAAGATTGTACTTCACGACTACAACTTTTATTCGGGTCATTTTTCCGTGAAAGCGCGTACTTCTGGAGATAATATAGGGGGTCCCATTCTTTTCGAATACCTTGTATAGACAAAGTAATAGAAACCTTACACGGTTGGGCTGGATTTCAGTGCCAAATATCGCGTGTACATCTTTTTTCCAACGTAGCAAACTGCGCGCCGATAAGTCTCGGCTCTTGAAACCCAATCTGAAGTTAAAATCGCAATAGTATACATAATTAAGTTGACATTCAGTTAATAATATTCCTGAATAAGCATCGATTAGAAACAAACTGTAAAAAATTTATTGCAAAGAAAAATCGATTCTTTCACATCGAAAGCAATCTCAAGAAAGTTGATAAAACAGTTACAGCAAAATTTTAAGTTTAACTCATGTTCCACTTTGTACGAGTATTCTGTCACAGTACCCTAATAATTCCGACGATTTGACAAAGTTATCGAGACATACGTGTTCCAGCTTTCCTTCTCTCTTGCTTATTATCTAATTATCCTGGAAATAAAGATAAAGAGAGCAAATACAGATATCTGAAGTACAAATCAATAGGAAATAATATAATGGTAAAAAATATATATAGAATGTATTATACATACATATTTATACACACACACGCACACATACGCACACACACACACACACACGCACACACACATACAACCTATAAACAAATGTTACTTTAATTTATAGAAAAACTAAATTTGACAAGCCTGACGCAATGATCTGTAATATTTTACGTAATTTTATTATACTATGTCAACGTACATGTGTAAAATGAATGAATACAGATCACTTATTTGCGACAGAATTTTGTCCTTTGATTTAAATAAACTGCTTAAAATAGATTTAAAAAAATAAAATGATAAATAACCTCGATTATTTAACGCAGCTGTGAAACATTTTGTACAAAAAAAAAACAGATGCGAGCAAACGAGGGAGTCTCCATTGGAAAGTATTAAATATTACAAGTGATGTGAGCAAACGAAATATGCTTCTGATGCGTGTACGCGCGTTATCTCTCTTTCTCTACTGTAACTTCACTTAATCCGTGCGTCACATGTTCGATAAGACAAGTTTTTAACGTCCTAGATTTCGCGTGGGGGATTACTATGTGTCGTAATCCTCGTCGATGTTGGCGGTGTGAGCGAAGTTCGATGTCGGCTGGTCGCTCGCACTCGGGTTAAGTTCCGTATAAAAATTTGGTCGATTAATTTCGAAGGCCGTGGGTATGGACGTGTGGAACTCCGGTACCTGCGAGTGCCCGTCCACCGTCGTCGCGGCCCTCTGGTTAGCGGGATTCAAATTGCTCGACCCGTTGTCTCTCGTGGCCCTATGGTTCACGCTCATCTCCGCGCTGACAGGCAGCCCTAGATGCTTTTGATACCTGGGGGAAATACAAATCGTGATTACTCGCGGGGCTCTTCTCGGTAAATCTCTCTCACCTAGAGTGACCTACTCTAATGGATCAGGATGCTGCATCGCTGTCGAGCACGCAATGGCTGCGTTTGGCGCGCTGATCTGCAACGGAGCAGGGGTCTCCGGTGACATAGGTACCTCGTCATCGGGTCCCGACACGTCTGGCAAGGACTTCACTAGGTCCTTCAGGAAGTCGAATCGGCTCTCCGACAGGATGCACTGTTTCCTGCAAATGTATAAGCTGTAGCAGCCACTGTGCATGGAAAGACCCTTTTGTTTCACTGTCCAAGTATTCATGAATTAAAACGCTCCTCTCTCGCACTCTCTCACCGAGAGATCAGAAACAATAACTACGCGGACAGTCAGTTGTCGCGTGTGAAAGTTTACATCGTGAACATGAACTAAACTTGGACAGACCCGAATAACGCTGCATTTACTTACATATGAGACGGACTTAGAGTCTTGGCGTTTTTAGCACTCGTGATCTGCATGGTCTTGGTCAGCAGGGAGTGCACAAACAGTTCCAGGGTCCTAGGTAGCCTTTTTTAAGGAATAATCAAATTCTGGTGAGCACACAACCGTTCGTCCTCATCGCGATAAATCAGACTACAATGCGTCGCTTAACACTTGAGTTTTCTTTGTCTATCTTGAGGTCAATTCTGTATCTTACGCTACAGTGAAAATGCTAAAAGCGTGTAGCTTCGTTTCTTCCTAACCATCCCTTTAAAGACAAAGTTGCTCACCCTTAACATTTTTCACTACATGGTAAGATACAGAATTATACATTGCAAGATACAGAAACCCCCTTGAGGGGTTAGGCCACCCTAAACGGGTGAAAATCAGTGTCATTTTCGTTAATTTTGTTATATTTCTAAAAAAATGAACAAAAATGATTTTGACCCGTTTAGGGTAGCCTAATCCCTTAATTCAATTTGTCCTTTGTTTTTTTGTGTGTGTACTTTAGTGCCTGGTTTATCAGTCAAGTGTGAACAAGAGAAAAATCATTTCTGAAACCAAGGAAAGATAATAGGAAGACTGGTGTATCTGTGAGACACACCAATGTCTTGCGACCGTTTGTAGGTGGTAAAACAGCCTAATCTACAATATGCTCTCAGCACCTGGAAACATTTTTTGTGTGAACAAATCGAAACGCTTAAAATTATTAAAACTTCTGCCGACAACGTACGACTGTACAGCGTATAATGTACAATTTATCCACTTGCGCAAATCTTGTAAACGTATTTATCGACTGCGATTGCGGTCAAGCCGCCGCTACAAGTGCTTCCGAGTGTTTCTCATCTTTTTTGAAAGGAGAATACTTGGAAACATTTGACGCGACAGCTTCCATCAGTCAGAAGGCTTATTAGCCACTTTTACAGACGCTTTTATCCATGAAAGAGGGTTCAGAATGCGGGCCAATGTATCTAGACGCGAAGAACCGAGGGGAAAACCGCCAAGGGCATTGTGGCGTACAGATTTGCGGTATTGCTGGGCATTACTAGGCCTTACTGGGGCGTTATAAAGATATAATAAGACAAAATAAGATCAAATAAGATAAAACAAGATAAATCAGATAAAATAAGACGAGATAAAGTAATGCCCACTGGGCATTAAGCCCAATGTCCACGATGCTAGAACTTGGACCAAGTTCAAGCATCATGGACATTGGGCTTTAGTGGGCACTGGTGTGCAAGATTTTGGTCAGCGGTTCCCTCTCGCTAAAGGCCTGTGTCCACGATGCTAGGACTTGGTCCAAGTTCTAGTTTCGAGAAACGTGTAGCCAATCAACCTGCAGCTATTCCATAAAAGCTGCACGTTGATTGGCCACGCATTTCTTGGAACTAGAACTTGGACACAGTTCTTGGATTGTGGACACAGGGCTTAAGGGCCTTCGTCCACGATGCTAGAACTTGGTCCAAGTTCTAGTTTCGAGAAACGTGTGGCCAATCGACTTGCGGCTATTCCATAAAAGCTGCACGTTGATTGGCTACACATTTCTCGGGACTAGAACTTAGACACGGTTCTTGGATCATGGACACAAGGCTTAAGAGCACATTAGGCGCGACGGAGGGCTGAGGCGCATCAAGCAGGGGTGACATATTCTTCGTGTACCGAGTGAGAGAGAGAAAGACAGACGTAGAAAAAGGATATAGATTATGATCGGCACCGCCTGGGCGACCTTCCCGACCTCCTCGTCCGTCTGCATGATCTTCTTGATACGACCCTGGCAACAGACATGCGGGGTTTGAGGTTATGTTGGGCGCGAGGTACGTCAGGTCGGCGGCCGCGCGCGGCTTCCCCGTCGCGGCGGCGGCGGCGGCCGACGACCGGCGTCGCGGACGCGGGTCGACGACGAACGGGCTCCGGGCGCACCCGGCGGTTCCCTCGCTCCTACCCTCGTCCCTTCCGCGTCGTCGACCGCGCGCGGAACCCGGGCGAGGGGGTCTCGCTTACCGCTGGGAAACGAGCGTTGTATTTTTTCTTCTTGCTGGGCATGCCGGTGCCGCGGTACGTTACGACGCGATACGGCACGGTATTACACGGCACAGGGCGACGCGGCACAGCTGCACACGGGACACGACGGGGCGCGATACGCACGCACGCGACACGACGCGATCGCATGCGTAAACAAACGGTGAGGGGGGGGGGGAGGAGAAAAAGGGTCGACGAGGGGGCGGAGGGGGTGGAAGGGAGATGTCGCGGAGCTTGGCCGCTTGGATTTCGCGATCTGTCGTACCGAGCTCGTCGCCCTCGTCGGTTCCCCCTTCGAGGGGAAAACGCCGGGGGGGTTGGTTCCGGTACCCTGTGTGCCGGCGCCGCGACGCGCTCGTCGCCCTCCGGGGTCAATGCTGGGCATTTCACAGAAGACATTTCACGACCATTGGTTAGCTCGGGGCTGCTTTCGCGAGAAAATGAAAATGATCCTGTGCTATGATTGGTCAAATCTGGAATTTTATTGAATAAAATTTCAAATTTGACCAATCACAGCACGAGGTCATTTAATAGCGTTTTCGACTGGATCAGGATTAATCGCTCCGGAAGCGATTAATGACGTCACGAGTATTGTTTTTGGTTATTAGACAAATAACCGAAATGCAACCCATGTTCGACCCATACCATTGTGAATTGATCCATCAGTGTTAAGAAGCTACGTTAGGTTACAATCAGGTTATACGTGCGTGTTTATTGTGGAACAAAGCATTCTTTGACGATAATAACGCGTAAGTTTACCAATAAACATTTCGATTTTATCATAAAATTGAAAAGAATATTGCAACTAGAACCCAGGTTCATAACTCATTTTCAGTCGAACATATGTTCCTAGTATCTTCGGGTTAATCGCTCCGGGAGCACTAAAACCCATGTCAGTTCCAGTCAGTCGAAAACGCTATTAAAGCCCGCTGCAGACGATGCTATTTTTCCTGCTGGATTGCTTGCGATTTAGTAAATTATTATCGTTGCACCACTCAGCATTCAGGATTCCTAGTAATTTACTAAATTGCAAGCAATCCAGCAGGAAAAATAGCATCGTCTGCAGCGGGCTTTAATCTGGATCATTTTGATTTTCTCGCGAAAGCAGCCCTGGAGAGGCAGCGCCATATTACTCAAGAGCTCGTCCGTTGCGGCTGAACGTCTAATCACAGTATAACCA